TGTTCTTCCGTTCTCTCGGTTTTCCTGTTCTGTTCTTGTTTCATGTATCTTGGCCACTTCTGGCTATGTTGTCCTTGACTTTGAATTTCTCTCAGTGTCCACTTTCATCTGTCTGGTTTTAGATTCCTTTCTGGGTGATGAGGGTTCCCTGGGATTCTGCCCTGGTCATCTGCAGCCTTCAGAGCCACTCAGCTCTGGAGCTGGGCGTTTCTGGACAGCAGTGTCCAGAGCAATGGATTTCCACCTGTATCTTTCCCGCAGGCAGCTCTGTCCTTACCCCGCGTCCTCTCCTCGTCCCTACTTTGTTTGTGGCTTGTCGGCTACCTCAAGTTTAGCTGCCACCAAACAAATACGGTTCATGGATAAAGGTCCTTGAACAAAAGCAGACAAATTATTTTCTACTCTCCTGTCTCAGCATCTCTGAAAAGTTATTTTTTAGAAAACTAAGCCTGGATTCTATGAGTAATACATGTAGAAGTGTCTTGACAACTGTAAAGTGCTGTAAAAACATTACCTCTCATGTTCCATCTGAAGGAGCCTTTCTGTAATGGCAGGTAGAAATAAAGCTTCTCACTTCGCGGTTTTTGTTTTTCAAAAGGACTCTTAAAATTCAAATGCCACTTAATTGGAATTTCCCCTTATCCATATTTGGAATCATAGCTGTCTTAAATAATTCTACTCACAGCACATGCCTATTGTATGAAATTACATATTACCCTGGAGTCCTGATAATCCCTGACAGACAAAGCTATATGCTAACTAGAACTTTTCAGCCTTCTGGTAAAAATATCTTCCCTAGGATAATGTCTACTGATACCCAAAAAGGAGCCGCGATGCAAGGTCTCAGGGCATGTATGCAGAGAAACATCTGTGAACCTTTAAACTATCTCTGCAATATTCTGTTTCAGTGATTTGTCAACAAAAAATTTCCCAAATCCATTTGCTGATTCTGTCTTTTTTGATCCAGAGTGATACGTGGTAACAACATAAGATGTAATTCTAAATCAAGGTTTAGAGGCTCTTTAGTGATGGCATTAATTTGAAGTGGTCCTATTATACTTTATACGGCACCCATGTTATACTCAATACCACATTGTTTGCTTGGCTTCTTCATGTTTGTTCAACGTTTTGTTAGACTCTTTTTTTTGTTTTTTGTTTGGTTTTTTTTTTTTTTTGAGATGGAATCTTGCTCTATCGCCAGGCTGGAGTGCAGTGACATGGTCTCGGCTCACTGCATCCTCCACCTCCCGAGTTCAAGTGATTCTTCTGCCGCTGGGAAAAATTAGCCACCACATTCGGCTAATTTTTGTGTTCTTAGTAGAGACAGGGTTTCACTATGTTGGCCAGGATGGTCTCAATCTCTTGATCTTGTGATCCACCCCCCTTGACCTCTAAAAGTGCTGGGATTACAGGTGTGAGCCACTAAGCCCAGCCTTGTTAGACTCTTATAAGTACTTTAGGGAGGTGTGAGTAGAACAAATTGAAAAATATATGGGAGCAACAATCCATGAACCTATGTTTTATTTTTTTAATATGCAGTAAGAATTATTTTAAGAAGATATTCATAGCCTTACAAGTATGACGTGAACTAATAACTCAAATTATTGCTAGTGTAATAGTTAAATCAGTGAATGCTTTTAAAATTAAGTCACACTCTATGTTCAGCAGTTGGTGTCATGTCGCCTTGGTACTTGTATAAGATTTTCCACGTTACACTTAACCTTGATACAAAATAAAAAGGTACGTGTTTAAGAAAGAAGTCCACCAGATTTAATTGTCATTTGCAGCCCTAATTGCACATTAGAATCACCTGGAATGTTTTTAAAACTACAAATGCTCAGGCCCCATCTAAGACAAATTAATTACAGTTCTCTAGGTCTGTGGTTCAAAGTGTGGGCCCTGGACCAGGCACTTCAGCATTATCTGGGAAGTTGTTAGAAATGCATATTCTCAGACCTACCCAGGCCTACTGAATCAGAACTCTGGGGCTAGAGATGGAGCTGGGGATGGGCATGAGGACCAGCCACCTGTGCCTAACAAGCTCTCCAGATGAGTTTGATGTGAAGTTTGAGAACTGCTGCTCTATCTACTACATTTGTTTTGTTTTTTTTTTAACTTCTAAAGATTAAAATATGCATCCAGGTTGGAGAATTACTAGGATAGTACTGCTCTATGACTTCAGAGGCATAAAAAAGGAAAAAAAAAACTTGCTGGAACAGAAAGGCACATAAAACTTCTAGCTATAGGGGCCCCGCAGCCTGCAAATGGAGCTCTGTGAAGAAACCAGTCAGTGTAGCTTACTGAGTTCATGTTAATAAATGGAATAGATGTGGCCACCTCCTTTGATGGGACATTACCCATGGCCCTGGCACCGAAGACCTGCCTCACCTGGTCAGGATGCAGGTGACAAGAATCGCTAGTCAGAAGATGCTTTACTCAACTGTAGGATTAGACGTTTTCAAATTATTCCTCTATATAGAGCATTTTAGACCACATAGATGAATTTGGAATTTCACATGCATAGTAGTTTATGTGAACCTCTACCTAATAAGTTTCATTGAAATAAATATTCCAAGTAATTATCTTTAAGAACATTCAGATAAATACATAATTATGACAAGGCAATAAATGCTTCTACTTCATCAAGTATTCAGATTGAATACAATAAATCATTTTCAACAATTATTTCGAAACTCATTGCCTCAGGAGTGAATCTATAAGAGGCTGATAAAAGGCATGTGGAAAAATACTGATTTGAGTCAATTTTGTAGCTAAGTTTTCTGCAATTAATTCCCCATACTAAATTCTTGGAAATGAAATGTATTTTTACAAATGACCTATTTCATTTTCCTGATAGTTCAGTTGTTACAATAAATTATAGTTAAAAGTTTATGAGTTCCATAAAAATAAATGAATAATGAGTAAATATATGTGTGTATAATATGTATGTATCTGTATATCTTCCTAGATGTCAATAGAAATTTTAAATTATCTAGTAGTTTTAAGCCTACTTGGGTACTTTAGGGTTAAATAACTTTTCACTGAAATAACGTTTTTCAGAAAGAAAGGAGGTCTTTTATTTATACCCAGTAATATATATTTCAAGAATTATTTAAAGTAGGCTGGGTATGGTGGCTCATGCCTGTAATCTCAGCACTTTGGGAGGCTGAGGTGGGAGAATCACCTGAGGTCAGGGGTTTGAGACCAGCCTGGCCAACATGGTGAAAACCTATCTCTACTAAAAATACAATAATTAGCCAGAAGTGGTGGTGGGCATTTGTAATCCTAGCTACTCAGGAGGCTAAGGCAAAAGAATCACTTGAACCCAGTAGGCGGAGGTTGCAGTGATCTGAGATCGTGCCACTGTACTTCATCATGGGCGACAGAGTGAGACTTTGTCTCAAAAAAAAATATTTAAAAGAATACTCAGAAAAAGAGTAAGAAGAAAAGGCATCAGATGCAAAGTCAGCTCACTGCAATCTAAGACTCATAAATGTAACCTTCTTATTAGTCTTCAACCAAAAGGCCGCCCCACCTGTATGCCCTCACTGCATGTGGATGAGATTTCATTTTGAGCTGTTTGGCATTCTACTTCAGGTTTGGAAATGATATCATCTGACACACTCTACTGTGTCCCTATCCAGCTGTCTCCAAGCTATGACGGATCACCTCCAGTCACGTGAAACCACCCCCTCCTGACACCAAGGCTATAAGGTTAGAAAATTACTTTTTTATATTGACCCTTTCTCCATCTTTCTATTTCCCATATCTGTCTTGCTTCTTGCCCCTGGACACATGGACCATGTCTAATCCCTCCACAAATATACTAACCCTTCACATGTTTGAAAATTGCTACCAAGATGATGAAATTCTACAAAGATAAATGTAAAGTTTTCCACCGGGGCCTAAGAAACACACTGTATAAGTACAAGATTGAAACAACATGACTCAGTCCATGTATTTTACCTCCAGCTTACAGAAGAGGAAGATGAGGCTGAAAAACAAACTAGCACAGAGTTGACAATGTTGGTCCTCCACGGGATAAAACTTGAGCTCTGGTCACGTTACACCAAATCCTGTTCTCTTTCCACCTGTCTGCAGTGCTACACCTAGTCTATTACGGCTTTTTTTTTTTTTTTTTTTTTTTGAGACAGAGTTTTACTCTTGTTGCCCAGACTGGAGTGCAATGGCACGATCTCAGCTCACTGCAACCTCCGCCTCATGGGTTCAAGTGATTCTCCTGCCACAGCCTTCCATGTATAGCTGGGATTACAGGCACATGCCAACATGCGCAGCTAATTTTTATATTTTTAGAAGAGATGGTGTTTCACCATGTTGGCCAGGCTGGTCCTGAACTCCTGACCTCAGGTGATTCATCCACCTCGGCCTCCCAAAATGTTGGGATTACAGGCTTGAGTTACCACGCTTGCCCGGCCTGTTAACGCCTTTGAGAATTTCCACTTTAGCGGATTTTCTTCCCATGCCAGCACTCTCTCTATGGTGAATTACATGCGTCTTCCTTTGCATCCCTTATAAAGATGCTTAATTTAGTCTACAATGTCCCATGGCATCATACATATTCAAATATGCAGAAAGCATTTATTGAAGTGAAATGAGGGGTCATCTCTCTTTCTGGTGACAATTTACTGTCTATAAAAGCAACAAAGATTAATATGAGAAAAAGGAAAATTATCTCAATCGAGAAATGTAATTCCCTATTTTTGAAAACAAATGTGATTTTACATAGCATGCAGTTGCTGGTGCCAAGGATACGTCTTAGTTAGTTTAAAACTTGCATCACTTACTTTTTTTTCTAAAGCTGTGAAGGCTTTAAATACAATTCTAACAAATGCTTAGATTTTTTTGCATTTGTCTATTTCTCTGATTAAATATGTTTGCTGACCAGTGTCTCTGCTTCCAATCTTAACTCCAAATCTGTTTACAAACTCCTTCTCTACTACTTTTCCTGCATAGTTAAATGAGACCCCTAACCTCCAGAGTCAGGTGCATACTCCTTGGCATGGCTCAGGGCTGCATGATCTTGCAGACACCGTGCACATCCAACCCAACTGAGCTGTGTGCCCTTCTCCAGGACCACACTGACTCCTCCGGCCCTGTGCTTGAAATACTCTCTCCACTATTCTGTAAAACTATGGAATTTGAGCAGTTCCTTATATGACAAGATTTAAAGGATAAAGCATGGTTCCATCAGGACAGTGATGACATGAAAAACAAGTTTGTGGTACTGAGGACCATTCTCTGTACCTGTTTTCTGAATTCACCCTTTGACCAGATCGGCTTTGTTTGTTTTTTATTCCCTTTCCAATCATTTTGTTATTTATTTATTTTTTTATTATTGCATTTTAGGTTTTGGGGTACATGTGAAGAACATACAAGATTGTTGCATAGGTACACACATGGCAGTGTGATTTACTGCCTTCCTCCCCATCACCTATATCTGGCATTTCTCCCCGTGCTATCTCTCCCCAACTCCCCACCCCCCACCGTCCCTCCCTTATTTCCCCCCAATTGACCCAAGTGTGTAGTGCTCCCCTCCCTGTGTCCATGTGTTCTCATTGTTCAACACCCGCTTATGAGTGAGAACATGTGGTGGTTGATTTTCTGTTCTTGTGTCAGTTTGCTGAGAATGATGGTTTCCTGGTTCATCCATGTCCCTACAAAGGACATGAACTCATCGTTTTTGATGGCTGCATAATATTCCATGGTGTATATGTGCCACATTTTCCCTGTCCAGTCTATCATAGATGGGCATTTGGGTTGGTTCCAGGTCTTTTCTATTGTAAACAGTGCTGCAATGAACATTCGTGTGCATGTGTCCTTATAGTAGAATGATTTATAATCCCTTGGATATATACCCAGTAATGGATTGCTGGGTCAAATGGAATTTCTATTTCTAGGTCCTTGAGGAATCGCCACACTGTCTTCCACAATGGTTGAACTAATTTACACTCCCAACAAAGTGTTCCTATTTCTCCACATCCTCTCCAGCATCTGTTGTCTCCAGATTTTTTAATGATCGCCATTCTAACTGGCATGAGATAGTATCTCAATGTAGTTTTGATTTGCATTTCTTTAATGACCAGTGATGATGAGCATTTTTTCATATGTTTGTTGGCCTCATGTATGTCTTCCTTTGTAAAGTTTCTGTTCATATACTTTGCCTACTTTTGAATGGGCTTGCTTGGATTTTTCTTGTAAATCTGTTTTAGTTCTTTGTAGATTCTGGATATCAGCCCTTTGTCAGATGGGTAGACTGCAAAAAATTTTCCCCATTCTGTTGGTTGCTGATTCACTCTAATGACTGTTTCTGTTGCTGTGCAGAAGCTGTGGAGTTTGATTAGGTCCCATTTGTCTATTTTGGCTTTTGTTGCCAATGCTTTTGTTGCTTTGATCATGAAGTCCTTGCCTACGCCTATGTCCTGAATGGTTTTGCCTAGGTTTTCTTCTAGGTTTTTTATAGTGTTAGGTCTTATGTTTAAGTCTTTAATCAATCTGGAGTTAATTTTAGTGTAAGGTGTCAGGAAGGGGTCCAGTTTCTGCTTTCCACACATGGCTAGCCAGTTTTCCCAACTCCACTTATTAAACAGGGACTCCTTTCCCCATTGCTTGTTTTTTTCAGGTTTGTCAAAGATCGGATGGTTGTAGATATGTTGTGTTGCCTCCAAGGCCTCTGTTCTGTTCCATTGGTCTATATGTCTGTTTTGGTACCAGTACCATGCTGTTTTGATTACTGTAGCCTTGTAGTATAGTTTGAAGTCTGGTAGTGTGATACCTCCTGATTTGTTCTTTCTGCTTAGAATTGACTTGGCTATGCGGGCTCTCTTTTGGTTCCGTATGAAGTTTAAGGTGTTTTTTTTCCAGTTTTGTGAAGAAGGCCATTGGTAGCTTGATGGGGATAGCATTGAATCTGTAATTACTTTGGGCAGTATGGCCATTTTCATGATATTGATTCTTCCTAACCATGAACATGGAGTGTTTTTCCATCAGTTGTGTCCTCTCTTATTTCCTTGAGCACTGGTTTGTGGTTCTCCTTAAAGAGGTCCTTTACCTTCCTTGTTAGTTGTATTCCTAGGTATTTTATTCTCTTTACAGCAATTGTAAATGGCAGTTCGTTCTTGATTTGGCTCTCTTTATGTCTGTTATTGGTGTATAGGAATGCTTGTGATTTTTGCACATTGATTTTATATCCTCAGACTTTGCTGAAGTTGCTTATCAGTTTAAGGAGATCTTGGGCTGTGACGATGGGGTCTTGTAAATATACAATTATGCCGTCTGAAAATAGAGACAATTTGACTTCCTCCTTTCCTAATTGAATACCCTTTATTTCTTTGTCTTGCCTGAGTGCTCTGGCTGGAACTTCCAGTACTATATTGAATAGGAGTGGTGAGAGAGGGCATACTTGTCTAGTGCCAGATTTCAAAGGGAATGCTTCCAGTTTTTGCCCATTCAGTATTGTATTGGCTGTTGGTTTGTTGTAAATAGCTTTTATTATTTTGAGATACGTTCCATCACTATCTAGTTTATTGAGGGCTTTTAGCATAAAGGGCTGTTGAATTTTGTTGAAGGCCTTCTCAGCATCAATTGAGATAATCATGTGGTTTTTGTCTTTGGTTCTGTTTATATGGTGTATTATGTTTATAGACTTGCGTATGTTGAACCAGCCTTGCATCCCTGGGATGAAGCCTACTTGATCATGGTGGATAAGCTTTTTGATGTGCTGTTGCAATTGGCTTGCCAGTATTTTACTGAAGAGTTTTGCATCTATGTTCATCATTGATATTGGCCTGAAGTTTTCTTGCCAGGTTTTATTATCAGGATGATGTTGGTCTCATAAAATGATTTGGGAAGGATTTCCTCTTTTTGGAGATTGTTTGGAATAGTTTTAGAAGGAATAGTACCAGCTCCTCTTTGTATGTCTGGTAGAATTCAGCTCTGAACCCATCTGGACCTGGGCTTTTTTTGGGTGGTAGGCTTGTAATTGCTGCCTCAACTTCAGACCTTGTTATTGGTCTATTCAGGGTTTCGACCTCTTCCTGGTTTAGGCTTGGGAGGATGCAAGTGTCCAGGAATTTATCTATTTCTTCCAGGTTTACTACTTTATGTGCATAGAGTTGTTTGTAATACTCTCTGATGATGGTTTGAATTTCTGTGGAATCTGTGGTGATATCCCCTTTATCATTTTTTATTGCATCTATTTGATTATTCTCTATTTTCTTTTTATTAATCTGGCTAGTGGTTTGTCTATTTTGTTGATCTTTTTGAAAAACCAGCTCCTGGATTTACTGATTTTTTGAAGATTTTTTTCTGTCTCTATCTCCTTCAGTTCTGCTCTGATCTTAGTTATTTCTTGTCTTCTGCTAGGTTTTGAGGTTTTTTGATCTTGCTCCTCTAGCTCTTTCAATTTTGACAATAGGGTATCAATTTTAGATCTCTCTTTGCTTCTCATGTGGGCACTTATTGCTATATACTTTCCTCTAGAGACTGCTTTAAATGTGTCCCAGAGATTCTGGTATGTTGTGTCTTCTTGTTGGTTTCAAAGAACATCTTTATTTCTGCCTTCATTTCATTGTTTATCCAATCTACATTCAAGAGCCAGTTGTTCAGTTTCCATGAAGCTGTGTGGTTCTGAGTTAGTTTCTGAATTCTGAGTTTTAACTTGATTGTACTGTGGTCTGAGAGACTCTTTGTTATGGTTTCCATTCTTTTGCATTTGCTGAGGAGTGATTTACTTCCAATTATGTGGTCAGTTTTAGAGTAGTGCAATTTGGTGCTGAGAAGAATGTATATTCTATGAATTTGGGGTGAAGAGTTCTGTAAATGTCTATTAGGTTTGCTTGGTTCAGGTCTGAGTTCAAGTCCTAGATATCCTTATTAATTTTCTGTCTCGTTGATCTGTCTAATATTGACAATGGGGTGTTAAAGTCTCCCACTATTATTGTGTGGGAGTCCAAGCCTCTTTGTAAGTCATTAAGAACTTGCCTTATGTATCTGATTGCTCCTGTATTGGGTGCATATATATTTAGGATCGTTAGCTATTCTTGTTGCATTGATCCTTTTACCATTATGTAATGTCCTTCTTTGTCTCTTTTGATCTTTGTTGGTTTAAAGTCTATTTGATCTGAGAGGAGTATTGCAACTCCTGCTTTTTTTTTTTTTTTTGCTCTCCATGTGCTTGGTAAATCTTCCTCCATCCCTTTATTTTGAGCCTTTGTGTATCCTTGCATGTGGGATGGGTTTTCTGGATACAGCACACCGATGGGTTTTGGCTTTTTATCCAATTTTTCTGTCTGTGTCTTTTGATTAGGGCATTTAGCCCATTTACATTTAGGGTTAATATTGTTATGTGTGAATTTGATCCTGCCATTTTGATGCTAGCTGGCTGTTTTGCCCGTTAGCTGATGCAGTTTCTTCGTTGTGTTGATGCTCTTTACCATTTGGTATGTTTTTGGAGTGGCTGGTACTGGTTGTTCCTTTCTATGTTTAGTGCCTCTTTCAGGAGCTCTTGTAAAACAGGCCTGGTGGTGATGAAATCTGAGTACTTGCTTGTTCGCAAAGGATTTCATTTTTCCTTCACTTATGAAGCTTAGTTTGGCTGCATATGAAATTCTGGGTTGAAAGTTCTTTTCTTGAAGGATGTTGAATTTTGGCCCCCACTCTCTTCTGGCTTGTAGGGTTTCTGCTGAGAGATCTGCTGTGAGTCTGATGGGCTTCCCTTTGTGGGTAACCCAAGCTTTCTCTCTGGCTGCCCTTAGCATTTTCTCCTTAATTTTAACCCTGGTGAATCTGAAAATTATGTGCCTTGGGGTTGCTCTTCTTGAGGAATATCCTTGTGGTGTTCTCTATATTTTCTGGACTTGAATATTGGCCTGCCTTGCTAGGTTGGGGAAGTTCTCCTGGATAATATCCTGAAGAGTATTTTCCAGCTTGGATTCATTCTCTTTGTCGCATTCAGGTACATCTATCAAACATAGATTAGGTCTTTTCACATAGTCCCATATTTATTGGTGACTTTGCTCATTCCTTTTTACCCTTTTTCTCTACTCTTGCCTTCTTGTTTTATTTCATTGAGTTGATCTTCGACCTCTGATACCCTTTCTTCTGCTTTGTCAATTCGGCTTTTGAAACTTGTGCATGCTTCGCGAAGTTCTCGTGTTGTGTTTTTCAGCTCCATCAGTTCACTTGTGTTCCTCTCTAAGTTGTCTATTCTAATTAGCATTTCATCAAATCTTTTTTCAAGTTCTTTGTTACTTTGCATTGGGTTAGAACATGTTCTTTTAGCTCAGAGAAGTTTGCTATTACCCACCTTCTGAAGCCTGATTCTGTCAATTCATCACACTCATTCTGCATCCACCATACTCATTGTCCATTCAGCCTTGTTCCCTTGCTGGTGAGGAGTTGTGATCCCTTGTAGGAGGGCAGGCATTCTGGTTTCAGGTGTTTTCATCCTTTTTGTGCTGGTTTCTTCCCATTTTTGTGGATTTATCCACCTGTCGTCTTTGTAGTTGTTGACTTTCAGATAGGGTCTCTGAGTGGATGTCCAGATTGTTGATGATGAAGAAGTTATTTCTTTCTGTTTCTTAGTTTTTCTTCTAATATTCAGGCCCCTCTGCTGTAGGACTCCTGAGGTCCACTCCAGGCCCTGCTTGCCTGGGGATCAACTGCAGCAGCTGCAGAACAGTAAGGGTTGCTGCCAGTTTCTTCTTCTGCTATCTTTGTCCCAGAAGGATAATTGCCAGATGTCAGTCTGACCTCTCCTTTATGAGGTGACTCTTTGGGTATATCGGGGTCAGGGAGCTGCTTGAGGAGACAGTCTGTCCTTTATAGGAGCTCAAGTGCTGAGCTGTGAGCTCTGTTGTTCATTCAGAGCTGCTGGGCAGGTATGCTTAAGACTGCTGCAGCAGATCTCTTAACCACCCCCCCTTTTTATTTGTCCCCTGGTACTCTGTCCCAGGGAGTTATGGCTTTATTTATGAGTTTCTGTTGTGCTGCTGCCTTTTTTTCAGGGCTGCCCTGCCCAGTGAGGAGGCAGCCTAGTCACTGTCTGTCTGTAGAGGCTTTGCTGAGTAGCTGTGGGCTCTACCTAGCTGTGGTGTGAACTTTCCTGCAGTCCTGTTTAT